TCCAAATACCTTGCCACAATACGAATACAGTAACAAACTTTGTTCAGTTTACCTTTCAAATATTCGACGTGGCTAGACCAGTCTAAAAATTCATCTACATAAATACCTAGAAATTTAGTGCTATTTTTAATTTCAAGATCAATTTCACCCATCGTAATTGATTCGGGTTTTTTAGTTTTATTTAATTTTGTTCTGAATAGTATAGTATTAGTTTTATCTTTATTTAGTAATAATTTATTTTTTTCAAACCAATCATTTACTAAAACAAAAAAGTGATTTGCATTTTGACGGATCTCTGGAATAGATGGTGCTCCAACTAGTAAATTTGTGTCATCAGCATATTGGGTCAAATTAAAATAATTTCTATTCATTTCATAAGAGTTTATGTCATTCAAATAAATAATAAACAGATATGGTGCAAGTATACTTCCCTGAGGAACACCCACTGTATTCTGTGCGATTTGTCTGTGGAAAGTAGTACTTTACCAGTCTCAGCTTTTTAAAAACTGCTAACTGTTACGATAAACTTTGCTTCCACATACCGACCTGTGCAAAAAAGTAACTTTTTTCGATGTTCTTGTACGTATTACCAAATAGTTCGAATCGTAACTTGAGAGTCGTTTTTGAAACCTATTATCTTCAACTATACGAATTTCTGGCAAATTACCCTAGACAAATTTCAGTCAAGAAGAACTAACTATTCGAATTTTTAATTTCCTTTAGTTTTTGCAAAACAAAGAAATAGACAGTCATCTTTTTTTCAACTGGTAGAGTTCACAATTTTTCTAAACCTCGACGTTCTTATAGAAAATATCGCCACTCGCAAAAACTTATTGTTACGGTTTTATACCGTCCGTGTCTGAAATTAGTTTAGCTTTAGAAAAAAAAATTAAATACAGCGTCTTGAGCTTTGTTACCTTTGGGTGAGGTTTTGCAGTATTTAGCAGCAGATCAGTATCTCAACCTATGACTTCACGAAAGCTCAAGCGACGCACGATAAAATGAAGTAAATTAAATTTACATATGTTTTTCCTGTGTCACCTTCAATAATCTAAACAAAAACCACTCACGCGTACCGGGAACAATCAAATTAACAATGCGGAGCGCGGCTGGACGAAGCTCTCGTGAAGTCACAAACACTTTAAAGCGGTATATCTCAGCGATGGTTTATCGTAGAATAACGAGGTTTGAACAGTTATTCTTAGATTTTTTACACTAAAACTTTAATTTTTGGCGCACACCCCCTTTAACACCAATGCTGTGATGGGTTTATTATCAAGTTCTTTTGTTTTCTTTTACCAGTAAATAATTGAAAATATTAAATTAATTTTTAAATTGGAAATCTTTCATTAAAGGTAAATATAAACACACCCGATCAGATGTTGTGGTTGTGGTCATATGATAAATGACAGAGTACCTAGGTTCTCTTCTTATTTTGGTGTCGGCAAATCGGTACTGGGATCGTACACCGATGGCCCTAGATACTCTAATTAGTGCATCGAGTAGGTCACAGTTCCGAACCTGATTTCTTGCCAACCTTATGGGTCAAAAACAAAACGCTCCCCATCCAAGACATTTTTGGCATTATTTTTTTTGGGTTAAAATTTAACTATTTAACTCTAAGATTTAACTAATTTTTTTCACGGGCTGTTTCTTTTTGAAGGATTTTTTTAGCTGAGACAGCTGCTTATCCTCGTGGCATATTGCCAATTCTAAAAGAGCAATTCTGTCCCAATAAGACTTGTTCTGATTATCAGCAGTGATCCTGCTTATTTATATGGGAATCAAACAGAAATCTTTCCAAACCCATAAAGGGCCATACAACATCCAGGATAAGTTGTACCAGTGCATTTTAATAATCACTAGAACTCATCACAAATTATTATCCTCTTAGGCCCTAATATTTGAGGTTGACTAGTGTAGTGACGCGGAAATAAACCACCAAGAAAACAATTAAAGGTTCTGATTATTCTAAACAACTAAAGACCTAGGATCCAACTACCGAAAATTAATCAAGAATAACAAGGACTTACCAAACCAGGAGAGATCATCACTTAGGCAGTACAACCAGAAACTTCAATTAAAAATTATTTGAACATCGATATCCAGAAATTATTGAAAGCCGATATTGACTAATACATTGGAATGTGAATAAAGCAAAAGTTCATGGACCTTTTTTTTAAGTGCTTTCAACAATTAACATTCCAAAGGAGCCGAAAAATTTCCAAAAGGATCAATAAATCATGCACGAGCCTATATGATGATACCCACTTAACAAACCACTTAGCGACGCCCTTGATAATTAATTAAAAGGGGACCAAATACACTAATTTATCGGCTGATTCAACCACGAAAAATCGAGATCAGAAACAATATAGAAATTTAAGACAATGGATGGACCAATGATATAAAAAGGCAACTTTGGCAGGAGAAAATCAGTGTTCGAGAAAACCAGTGTTCGTGAAAGACCAGTGTCGGTTAAGTAATCAAGAAACAAGTAGTAATCGAGAATCGAGAGACCTGTTTCTAGAAAATCAGAACTACGGCGTGAAAAAGTTGACGAATTAACCGAGGTAATTAGGTGTGGCCAGCAGTAAATATGTCAAACTGTAAATAAAAAATTTTACTTGGAATAATATAAATTTTCCTTAACAGTTAATTGATGCTTATTAGAAATCTAACAAATTTATTGTAAGATTATTTATTACCGACGCCTGTTAATTAATAACAAGCATTATTTATTTTAATAAACTAAACTTTATTTTAATTGACCACAATATTTCTGTGTTTTACTCTCTACGTGCAAATTGGACCCACTTTAAACTGTGTCTCCACTCAGAAACTGAAGTCACCGCTCGCCAATTTAACATCTTGCCAAGTTTCCGAGCGGTCGAATTCGAAAGCCCGATAAGTACTGACCCAGGCCAACACTAAGAGGCTCTTCTCAATCACTGGAAACAGACGCAAGCTACTGATTAAATACTACTGCCAGGTTAGTCCGTTCCATAATGGATATTTTTAGATTTTATCACGTTTGATTTACATTTTTACATTTTATGACATATTGAAATGTCATCTTTATCAGCCAGTCATTATAGTGAAATATGTAAGTATAATTTAAATTACTGTGAACCGAAGATATGCGCATATACTAGGGTCCCTTTTTACTGTAATTATTATTCAAATATTAATTCATAAACGATTTAATTGGTGAATAATTGGGATTTAAATGACTATACTTTATTTTTTTCCAAGATAGATTTTGACATTGTCAACTTTGGAACATAAACAATGCCGCTAATGCCACTTATTGGCCGCTATTGTAAAACTGATGTCAACCTGCAGAAACACCTCATTTTGCGACCAATCAGGGTCAAGCGTTAGTGTTTATGTTTCAAAGTTTTCAATGTCAAAATCTATCTTGGGAAAAAATAAAGTATAGACACATTTTACAGTAAGCTTGAAAGCCAAGCACATTCATGCATTTCCAGTTGATTTTCTTTTGTAAACTTAATTGATTTAAATTAATCATAATTTTAATGCATAGTGCTTAATATTTTGTGAATTTTGGCTGATAATTTAATTGGTTTCTGTGTTAAAGCCAAGTCAAGTTTCTATAAAATATTGTTCTAGAACTACTCTGTTACCTATTGATACTGATGGAAGGCAGTTATTTAATTGGGTAATAATGGTAATTATTAATAAAGGTAGCTAGTGCTTTGTCTCAAGTCGTTGAACATTTGAAGTTTCATTTCTGGAGAAGGCTAGATCTTTCCCGCTTTATTATTTTTTTTTTTTTTCAGCAGACACTTATCTTACTAAAGAACTTCTAAAGCGAGTGGCGCATTTTTTATTATATTAACTCACGACCACTCTACGCTGAATCAGCTAGTCCGACATTTGCCCACAAGTTAAGTGTTTTTAGGTTCTCAATTTATAGTTTTGGAATTTCACTCAACCCGTTAATATTATTCAGATAGACCAATCATAATTAAAATACAAATTTAATCAAAATGCCTAACCCTCGGCCAAACAATAACCCATTGCCCTTTCCATTGCAGCATTAACCTAACTTTCCGAAGCTTTTTGTTTTCAATAAATTGGGAAAGTTCAGCACTGAAAGCCAACTTCGCTTTTACGATTTTGTTTGATAAAAAAGTAAACTCGGAAATGAGTTCTAAAAAATGTTAACCTCAACCTAAAAATATTACCTCTGTTCTAACAAGAAACCTTACTGCCAATCCCAGTCGTAAAAATCCACAATCCCGTTAATGGCATTTTGATCGAAAAACTGGGTTGTGCGACAGCTGTTGCCAAAACAACCAGTCTCTTGGGAAAGTATAATAAACTACAACTTTGTGTAACGTAATATGAAACATAATAATAACAGCAGGGATTCCATATAAAATGTGAATAACAGTACATTGTACTACATTGCAGCATCTTGAAGTTGATAAATTAGGCTAAATTAAGTTATTGTTAACGCAAGTAGAAAAATTTTAAAAATAATTTTGCCGCTTGCATGGATTTGTCCCGAATGATTTACATCACATAAATGTTGTGCTTTATTTACGACAGCTCCTTATTTATATCCTTTAAAATAAAAACTCGAACTCTTGGAAATGTTTTTACTTCGTGCTAATGAGGAAAAAAATAGAACACACCTACATCGAACGCGTTAAGATAAAATTGACTAAAACTTTTTTTTTGTGATTCGTCTCCTTTCATCTGCAACATTCCACTTTCTAATCTAATGGAACGGAATTTCTTCTTGGTCCCGCCCTATGTCTCTCCTTCAGGATTTATTTTTCTGTTTATAAATTACCTGTCCTGGTCCCGTAGTCTAATCTCCAAAAGTCAGTTTTAATTTAGCTCGGGGGGTCTTTAATGTTTGGCAGAAGGCAACATTTTAAAGTTCTTTTTTTTTACCCTGAGCATTTATACTCTTGAAGGTCAACGACTACGTTGTAGCAGTAGGATCGCAAAAAAAAAATCCTTACCGAAACAATTCTCGAAGCTATAGATGAATTGTTATGGCTTGATGGGTCGATATGTCTTGTATGAAGCTGATTCCATAAACAGAGTCCCATTTTGACGCTTCCTATGCTTCCACCCACAACCATATATATGGGAATGTTTGGTTCCCTGGGACAGTCTCTGAGAAACTGAACACCTGCAATAAAAAATTAAATTATTCAAAATATTAAACACATAAATCAAACATTTCTAATGAAAATCTATCGAGCTGCTGCAGTGGAATTAATATCCAAATAATCTCACCGATAATAGTTTTGATGCAGAAAATAAAGCACCTGAATTCCATATGTGACCAAGAATATTTGGTTACAGCTGGGAATTTAATTCGGAAGAGATCGAGCAACAGGGATATTACGATATTATCGAGTTTTTAAAAAATATATCAAAAAAAACATGAGACATGAGATACAGAAATACAGAAAGTTGGAGAAAACTGAAAAACATCAGGACGACAAAAATCAAGGATATTATTACCAAAATACTACCCCAGTGATGAGAAGTATTGCTGACAAAATAACAGAGTTTAAACAAGAGAGAGAACAGACACAAAACCGGAGGATCGCCAATAAGAGTTATAAAAGAAAAAGTATCGAAAGAATGAAAAATAAGCTATTTAACAAAGATAAATTAGAAAGAAGAGAGAAATAGACAGAAAAACCACCGAGGCTTTGCGTCACAAAAAAAAAGAAGGATAAATGGAAAAGTTATCATCGTCGCTGGGGTCTTACAGCCTTTTTCCGCATCCCGCATTTTGATCCACATTTAATACGGTCTTCCTCTCTTCCTCCTGTTTTAGGGTACACACATCAAATATGCTCTTTGGCCATCTCTCCTCCTCTGTTCTCATAACATGCCCATACCATATGAGCTGTCGGTGGTTCTATATATTCTTCCCGTTCTTCTTCGAATTTCAACATTCTGCTCCAGTCTTGAAACTCTACATGCTCCTCTGAAAAAGTCTGTTTTCACTGCTTTCACTTCTTTTATTTCGTTCCGATAGAATTTCTTTTTTATTTTTAGAAATCTGACTACTCCAGAGTGATGAATTCAGAATGTTAACGCAGGTTTTACCTTGTGTTACTTTGTTATTTATATCGCGCTCTAATGTTCCCTCTGTTGATATCAAGTATTTATACACACCTTTTCAGATTTCCTAAGCTAAGATCCAGGTCTTCATTATCATCTTCAATACAAATATATTCTGTCTTACTTTGTTTTATTTTTATTCCCCACTGTTCATATGCGTTCTTAATTGTTCTATACATGTAATCCGCCTTTTCACAGCTACCTAATTGTCTGCAAAGAATAGTGTGTACAAGTTATATTCTCCAACTTCTATTCTCATACTAGAGCATTTATTATTTCTCTCGAGTCTCGTATTTTCCATTATTAAAATTTCTGTAACATCACAAATCACTTTCACATCCTTTAAATCGCTTTTTCACCCTTAATTCCGATTCTATTTGCATTTTCCCGGTTATTTACTTTCGCCGAATAAGTGTGGTTATGGGACATTTGTTGTTTCGTTCCAGGCACCGCTGTTGTCGAGGTGTCTTGACCACTGTGGGTAATAGAGTCACTGTAGTTGTGTCCACTGAACGATAGTTTTCGTACCAAAGACTGGGTAGATGTTGATTAATAAGTAATTAATTAATGTTAAGTGGTGTTAGGGGAGAAAATTTGATAACAACTTTGAGTTTTGTTGGTCATCAATGTGTTTTGGATTGTTCCGTTCCAAGCTGATTGTTCCGTTTTCCTGATCAAGACCGGAAATCTGGCACCAGAGGGCATCTTAGAAAAAAAATGGAATTATGGTAAATTTCTTGTGGGAGCTCACCTAATAAATTGCTGAAAATAAGGTCGTTCTTTTAAAATTGGCACGTTGAGCAAAAAACAAGTGGCAGATTTTACCAGCGGTCCTCTTTGCTAAGTTCCTTGGAACATCCACCTTTTGTGGGATTTTGGAGCGTTGGAAACTCAAGTGGTTGCTGGCTCAATTATTGGTTTAGGGGCGTGGATTTGGTCGTAAGTCCCCATATTTGTAAGCCAACCGCTCAGAATTTTCTGGAGACAAAGGTCTACGACATTTTGTTGAATTGTCGATGCGAGAAGAGAGCATGTTTTGTTCAACTAGCCCAATTTGTAACCAGGTAAATTTAAACGTTTTTATCAATCTGAGTTTACCGTTTTCGTTATCAATATGTAGATTAGCATATCAGTAATTTTGTAAATATTTGGGATTCTATAAAAAAAAAAGGGCAATTTGGCCTCCACGAGGGCCATTTGTCAGTTAAAAACTCATTAGTCATTTTCAAAAGGGGCATTAATGGGCTAATTAATTAAGGGGAATTATTTTTAGAAGGAAACTTACGGGTTTTAGGGGATTTTCCTATATTTTAGATTAATATGTATTATAAGTATAAGGGGTTCTAAGGTCTAAGAATTTGTCCTCTTTCAGGGTTTTTTCTTTAGGATACTAGATTGTACCTTTCCATTGGGTTTTTCTCTTTCGACGTTTTTGTGAGGTGTCAGAGTACCCACAACACTAAATTAAAACCGAAATTTACCCAACTCGAGAAGGGAAGCCAATAGAAGTTGATGGGGTCTGTTATCAGGGCTGTGAGGCTGTCAAGAGACAGCAATAGAAATGAATGTTTAGACTGCAGACAGGACCACAAGGGGGTGATGTACCCGTGGATTTAATAACGTTTCTTAATTACTTTTTTTTATTATTAATAGTAAGTCTTATATCTTACTTGGTACATTTCCAAGTTTGTTTTACTGCCTTTATTATTACAATGGGTGTTCTGCACCAATGATTTTTAATTGACTATATTTAAGGTGACATTTTGTACAAACCCGCCCCGGTATAGCATGGTATAAGCATGCACAGGTTTTAATTAATATTATTATTCTTTTATTCCTTAATTGTTCTCTTTTACTCTCATTGGGGTAAGGTGGTCAAACATTTATTGAGAATTCTTGAATTTATTAGAGTATCTTATGAGACCATTACAAATTGGTCCTTGCTACCTTTTGGTAATTTTGACATTTACATTTACTGTGGTATTTTATATAGTATATTGGTCTTTGTAATGCAATTTCAGGTCTATACATACCCCCTCAGAACATATTGAATAGTTTTATACTCATTGTTTTTATATTTGACTCTTATTTTACCCCTACTGACCTCAACCAAACTAGGGTAAAGTTGTTTTTAAAGGATAGGTACATCGGGTAGGTACATTTTTATAGGAATTTTGGAGATCAGGGACTTTCTGGTTTAAGTCCGCGGATTTTAATTTGTAAACCAGTGGCGCCTTATAAAGCTAACTTTCAATATTGAACCTACTCCCACACCACTGAGTAGTCGCGAGCACTTTGTTGTGCTGGCCGCATTTCTAAAGGGTGTCTTACTGTACCTAGGCCTATTTGGATTTATTTATTCAAATTTATTATTCAAACAGTTTAAGGGTTAATTTTTGCGCAACAATTTCCTACTTTCACTACACTCTGCGGGTTTTTATAAATGGTAATGGCTCTTGTGTATTCTTAACTGAGGTTAGTCTTTGTCAAAATTCCGATAAGTTTTCTCAAGGGTATGTATCGAAGGCCTTCTAGAAGTCAACAAATATTAGGTATGTGAACAGATTTCGAGCTTTCCTTTTTTCTATGATTTGTTGTAATGTGAAAGTGCCATATATCCTTGAACGTCCCACACGGAGGCCATTCTGCTCTTCTATGTCTGAAAATTTCATTTCAATTCTTCTTTTTAAAATACGGCTGTACATACAATCTTCCCAAAGAACTAGTTAAGCTTATTCTTCTATTCTGCAGGTATAGTGTGCCCTCTTAGTAACAGATCGTTGTATATATCTGTCAGAATTTTTATCACGATCTCTGGCGCACAATTGACTACCTCGATAGGAATGTTTCCTGGACCCGGAGCCTTTCCATTCTTCATATCTTGTACATTTGATCTAACCTCTTTCGCCGTTATGGTTTCCACATGATTCACTTCATCTTCCTGAATCTCTTCTATCTGTCCATCTTCATTCCTTGCTTCTTCTCCATACTGTCATACAAACAGGTCCTCCAGTTTTCACATTTAGGTTACCAACTGTCATTATTTCTTTACTTGAATTTATTCCTGCTAGAACCTCTTCCGTCCTTTCTTCAACGTCATCACTTGGAGTTATAAAAACCAAAATGGAAAAAAGAGTATAAATAATATAGTGAAGCAGATGAACAGGCCGGTTTTAGAGAAGGAAGATCAAGTTATTTAATTTGATCTGGGTGGAAAGAAAGAAACTAGCGTAGGTATGATCAACAACTTCATTTACTATTTGTGAATCTATAGAAAGCATATGACAATATCCTAGGAAAAAAGCTATGAGAAGCAAGAAGCACTAGAAAAGACCAATATCAACTTAGAACTAATAGAGGCAGTTCAAACACTCTATAGTGACGCAAAAACCGAAATTGAAGAGGAAAGCATACTCAGAAAGGGTTTAACGGAAACAAAAGGACTTAAAGAGGGATGCTGCATATCACCAACATTTGGATGAAGTGCCTAAGGGGTAGAAGAATAAATACAGACACATGGAGATACCGCTCAATCTATATACTTCAAGCTTTCCAGATGACCAAGTATCAATTACACGTGAATTGATAGAGGAATAAGAGAAATGGAGCTTCGAAGTAAATCTGATGAAAACAGAATATATGGGCGTAGGATGAGAACAACAACACCTGATATTGAATAAAGTGCAAATAAAACAATGCACGGAATACAAATATTTGGGAATGAAAATATCGCAGGAAATCCTAGATGCAGCAATTAATGATCAGAATGTATGTACAAGGACAGAAGGCAATATCTCTACTAGAGTATTGTGTGTAAAGTATCAACAAAACAGACAACTTGAATATACATCGTCAAAAGCATAATCACATATATCCTATTCACAATCCGTAGTCCTAAGGTAAAGGTAAATTTATCACCTTTCCCTATCAAATAGCACTGAAAGGTGATAAATTTAACCTTTACCTTTGGACATCGGATTGTGAATAAATAATACAGTTCAGAGGTCTGGTCACTAAAGGATAGAACCGCAAATATGCTGGAAGCAACTGGCTTAGAAAGAATAACAAACCAGACAATTAGAGAAAGTATAAATGTAGGAATATTGGGAAGTTGATGATGTGAATGACAAACAACTGACATGTACAAAGAATGGCAGATACTAGAATACCTAAGAAATCATTGACAGAGAAGAAGTAGTAGAAGTAGGGTAGATAGAACATTATAGGCCGATAATTATATACAGTCAGCACGTAAAGGTTGGAATACAATCCATAAAATATACAAGGTTGAACTTTTTCAAAATACCTCGGACACGCCGCTTTTGATTTCAGTGGCCTTTGTTATTGATGATAATATCATGTATACAGGGTGACCCATAAACAAGTTATGACAGTTAACTTTATTTTTTTAAATGAAAGCATCAATTTGTTATTTCATTTTCAAATTCAGCGTTAAATTCTGAACCTATTTTATGCATCATGTCTTATACATATCTTCAAAAAATTGGTGCTTTCATTAAAAAAAAAAAAAAGCTAGCTGTCATAACTTGTTCTTGGGTCACCCTGTATACATGATATAAACGACCACTAAAATAAAAAATCGAAGTGTCCGAGGTTATTTGAAAGATATCAACCCCAAATGTAGATTTCATGGATTTTATCCCAACATTTACCTTCTCACTGTATATAAAACCGATTTGGTGATTAAACGTCTATCTTTTACAGGTGCATCCGAGTGATAAACGATCTTCAGTTTCCCTTTTTTTGATATACCTATGCATATAATGTGTGTGGAAGATAGGTATTGTTATAAACCCGCCACTCGTACATTTTGATTGCCCCTTGTAACTACAGTTAGAGAAGCCAGAAAATTCGACTATTTTCAAGATGAACTGAATCACGAAAATTCGAGCGTGTTAGAGAAGGACGCACATAACTATAAAAGCCCCAGTGCGCACCGCGTAAGGATCAGTTCTGATTGACGTACAAGTACAGTAAACTGTAAAGTCAGGAACTAAATAACCACGATCGCAAATAATCGGGCCGTATAAGCTTTATTTGGAGTAGTTCGGAGTGTAAAGTAGTGTTAAAGGAGGAGGCACTTCTCCTATGGCAAATGGATCTCCGACAGATTTTTATGAAATTTGGATATGCTGTAGTTTTTTAGACTCTGATTAAAAGCCATCATTGGCCGAACTCCTGGCGGTTGATAGTTTAGCCTCCAGAGGGCGCCAAAGTTTCATATAACTTGGTGTAATTGGGTAACTTCCCCTCACAGAAATAAGGATTTAAGTGTCTGACATATCACTTTTAATAATATTTGATCATTACTTTTGCGATATTTATAGAAAACATCATCTTTTCCCTCTTGTTCCCGGCCTGTCCGACGACTTATTTTCCCCATGCCTGAGAAGGCTTATTGTACTTAGTTTGTGTGGTTTATTCCAACCACTTTAGTATTTTGGTGCTCCCTCTGTAGGTCTTTTACTGGGTGGTGTTTCATTATTGTTTCCGGTTCTACATTTGGTTGCCCGAAAATACTGTTTTCTGCGATCCAGTGCCTCGCAGTTCACCAGGATGTGTCTGGCTATCTCGGGCTCCTTGTTGCAGAGTCTGCAATTAACGACTCCGTCGTACAGTTTCATCCTGTTCAGGTGAACCTTTACAAGAGTCCCGTTATGGTTCTCAGTCGGCTCCAAGTCATTTGTAGCAGTTCTGCAGCCCTTTCGCTACATGGTTGGTCGATGAATTCCCTACTATGATTCTGCCTGGAAATTGTTCAGTGTCGCCAATGTGCTTCACGAATCCAATCTTTGATCTGGCTTCTGATCATACTTTTTGGTTGCCCCCTGTAACTACAGTTAAAGAAGCCAGAAAATTCGACCTAGAGCCGGTTCTGGCCCAATAAGTTTTGTCTCTGACCCCCTCTTAGCGAGCTCATAAGCTTTTTTATTGTTTTCGATTTCTCTTTGTCCTGGCACCCAGATAAGTTTCACCTTATCCGCCAGGGCCCTGGAGTTCTTTCTGGGATTCCCATACTAGTCTTGATGACACTCTCTGGCTCGAAAGGGCTTTCAGTGCCGCTTGACTATCAGACAATCAGGCCTATGATGTATCCTGTCCTGTTATTTTAACAGTTGTGTTATAGTTGAAAATCTATACCTGTCTCTATTTTTATGTGTAGAATAAACAGTGACAGATAACTTAACGGTGCTGTTAAAATAACAGAAAATGATACATCATAGGCCTGATTATTATAAGGATTTGCCTGTTGGCTGTGGCTCTCCTGTTGTTCTCCGCTACGCATTGGAGTATAGCGTATACCTCTGCTTGAAAAACAGAGGCATGTCTTCCCAGTGCATAGTGATTGCTATATTTGGCGGAGTATATCCCTGCTCTATTGATCCACATACAGCAGGTGTCCTCAACTCCTTTGTGCTTGAGAGATTTGGATATTGAATCGATACAACACATCTTAAATGACACATCAAGTTATATGAAACTTTCACGTCCTCTGGAGGCCAAACTATCAACCGCACGAGGTTCGGCCAATGATGGCTTTTAATCAGAGCCTCAAAAACTACAGCATATCTAAATTTTAGAAAAATCTGTCGGAGATCCATTTGCCATAAGAGAAGTGCCTCCTCCTTTCGTGTGATTTTTATGTTATTGTGTTTAATAAAATTCGTTAAAGTTCGAAAAAGTAGTCTCACCCGTATAAGTAACAGTATTTAAACTTATGGGACAATGAATGTTTTCGCAAATAACTTACCCATTATGAGCATTATCAATGGCAAAACAGATAGGCATACAAGAAGGATCGTAACAAAAACTGCAAAAAAATAAAAAATATTAATTTCAAAATTCTAGTTCATAATATGCAAAAAGTTACTTTTGATTTTTAATAGATGATTATAAATTTTGTATGTTCGTATAAATAAATTAATATGCAAATCCATCATATTTTCATTTATTTATTTTTAAAATTTGAATAATATGCAAACACCATGAATATACATTTATTTGAAATATGCATGTATATTTCCCGTGCTTCAACATAAATATAGTGGTTTTACTGGCAGTTTCACGAATGAAAATCACCCAAATGTATAATTTAAAAGCAAAAGTAATTTTTAAATAATCTATTACCTACTTACCAGTCCTATTGATAATTTTTAGTGCCTTAAAAACAAAATCACAAGTACCAGTGGCTTCCAAGTTGGCATCTTTCAGCTGATATGCTACAGATCCATAAGTGGTCAGAGTCATGCTGAGACTGAGACCCTGACCCATTTCGCGTGAATATTTCTGATCCGAGCAAAGTCTCCGGTGTTCATCGCCCGAGACCTGCGGGAGCCCCACCTGTTTAATTTATGATAATTTTGGAGGGGGACGTGAAATGGAATCTACTTTTTTTTTCTAAAGAAAGCGAATGAAGAACTACAAGAATAGTGAAAACTAAAATTACAGAGATAAGTGTACTAAGCAAGTTAAGATAATAGAGTAATACCTATAATTTCTTTATTTTAAATTAGATAATGTACAATGATTTTAATATTGGTCGAGGACATCGATATAGACCTTTTCAAGGTCCACAACGCGCTTGCGCGTCAAATAAGTGGGGTTATGTTGGCTGTTTGTTTTGCGGTCCAAAAAGCATAGCAAGTATTATGAAAAAGTTGTTATTAATACCTTTTCCAATTTAAAATGGCCCAAATGCCTTTTAAAAACGGTAAATTATCAGCAGCAGATGTGCCGGTGCAATTTTTCGTAATGAGATTGTAGAGAAAAATAGCGTATTGGAACTTAAAAGGAATTTACGTTGAAGACATGGCCAGGGAAAGCGGTAAAAAATTAATCCCTCGGAATATCCGGGTCTTCCAACTCTGCTGTCACTATTACACTTTCCAAAAACACAATATTTGTGTGCCCCATCGATTTTACTAATTTTTAAATAGGGTTTTCCAATATTTTCCGATGCATAAACGTGTAACATGGACCGCAAAACAATAATCAGCTGATCGAAGAAATGACAGTGAAATTGTGCGATGTTGCCAGCTTGTACAAATTGAAGCGTGTTAGGTTAAAAAAAAAAAAAAATTACAAAATAACCATTAATATATATTTTCAATAAATAGCTTCAGTCTTTGACTGCATCAAATATAAGGTTAATTAATAATAAAGAATTTGAATCTCAGTTCTAATGAAATCGAAATTATTCATGATTCTTTCCTGTATAGCGTGATAGAAACCGACACTTGACAACAATGTTTTGCGCATGCGCAACAGAATTATTCTAATTTGAAAAGGTCTATTGATACGAAATATCATCTAAAACGCGTACAGGTTGTGAAAACTATTTTTTTTTTTACGTCTAAAGCGCCTCTGATCGAGAAAAAAAAAATACTTCTTGATAAATCCGGAATACGATGTCGTCTATAAATAGCGCGTAGTAGTCACTTTTGATAAGAGTGTTGTTGTGTGAGTCAAACTCAATACAAGATTGTATTCGCTTTGATAGGTTAATTTTTATAAACTCAATTTGTTCAATAAAAGTTGTTACTGTTTGTAAAGTGACTTTTACTGGACACGGAATCCGCGACAGAATTAAAACTGTTCTTTAACTAAAACTCATTTCTATAAGTTTGGTCTCGTTATTTTGAAGTAATTAGGAAAACTTTCTGTTGATGTAAAAATCAATATTATTATCATAGTAATTAAAGTTTTAACAAGCAAGGCTGAAATTTGTTGAATGTTCTCTACAACAACACGTTCATTACGGTATTTTCCATATTCCAGAATAATTTATTAGATATAATGACTTCTGTTTTCATACATATCAATCAATTTATTTCTGATTATGCTTGTGCAATTGAATTGTCAGGTGATGTTTTAGAATTATAGAAATATTAAGAATTTACAGAGTTACATCAAGTTGGAACTATTTCCAATTTCATTTGTAATCTGCATCTTGAACAACAGGGAGTTTTGTAACCTCCTGAAAAAGTTTATTTTCTGCAACGTAAACATTACTAAAGTACATTTTCTGCTTTTAGTATCAAATAAGTCCTGAATTCATTTCAAATTTTCTTGTGGTTCAATATTCAGATACAGGTACCTATACTTAAAAGCCACAATTACGCAATCCAAAGCTCAATTAGACATGTGAAATGGAGAATAGATACAAAAGGAATTCTGAGATTTCCAGAAATGAATAGTGGATAATGTCATGCAATAGTAACATACTGAGAACAGACCGCTTTGGCTGTTTCGCTCACCTGACTAACCGAGCTGCTGGCTCGTCTCGATCCGGTGCTTTCCAAACCGCTATTTGGACCGTATCCCGTATTTATGTTCCCTTTGGATGATGAACGATATGACGGTGACGTAGTTCGCCCTCGGGAATCTGGAATATCAGGAAATTATTTGATAAATATTCACAGGTAGGTATTCATTATTGAATTAAAAATAATACAGGTTTTGGTTCCGGCAACGTCAGTCATAACATTTTCTGTGTATTTTTAATGAAATCAGCGAAAAAATTATTTACGAAAAACACAAGTGTTCACTGTTCAATTGCACCAGCACTAACTATGTAGTAATAACTTATAAAATCAGTTTGTATTGGTCAGGGCCAGTTTAAACAATACTTGTGGTTTTGCCCCAAAAACAATAAAGAGAACCCGAAGATATTATCGCAATGTAAATGATGAAATTGTTCAAGAAAGAAGTGAACTGATCTACAAAGTTGAGAGCTTTCATGAAAATCCATATTCTTCAGTAATCGCACCAACAGTTAAAGTTATCAATCTCAAAATAGGCGGAGAATATGTGATAATTTTTTAAACTATAATGCTTAACATACGGTTAACTTTTCTTCCAAATTAATATGCAGCTAGATATTTGCGAATAATCGAAGTTTATCAATAATTTTATTACCTTTCGTGTTATTGTTATTCCGTGAAGCAGTTTTACTCTGTTCGTTTTAAATTATTTTTTCCCACATTATCCTTAACAAGAATGTAACAGCTTAGCCCTCGGAACGTAGGAGAACAGAAAACAAATTGCTTTTTGTGCTGACTACTGCCCGTAATAAAATACCCTTCGCATTTCTAATGAGTTACATCAAAACCCTCCAAAAAGGTCTTCCACTTTATCTGCGTGTTTTTATGAAAATTGGATTTTGAAATATGTCTAACGTTTACGCAGAAGCTTCACGAGAATAAAGAGAAGTTGACGAACATATTATTTTGTACGTGTATATCATTATAGCATGTACAATTATCTGTATAGTTACCCGGCCATGAAGTAGCTCTTTATTGTACGAGCACAATGCAATAAAATTTAATAAACCAGCACATGCTGATATATTGACATTTTCGACTACTAAAGAGGACAATGAATAATATTGCCTATATAACAAGGGGTGGTATGAATAAAAACGAAGTACTTGCTACTACTACAAGTATTAGTATGTTCTACGTAGTATTTTCTTCAAAACGAAGTAGATACTACATTTCGAAACGACCAAAATGTAGTATCTACTTCGTTTTGAAGTAAATACTACGTAGAACATACTAATACTTGTAGTAGTAGCAAGTACTTCGTTTTTATTCATTCCACCCAAGGTGAAATAACATTTTAACTACCTGGTATTTTTATTGTAAAAGAAGCAATTCACATACAAAAGATCGTGTATGACACTCGAAAAAATATTTTTTTTTTTACAATCCCGAAAGAATTTTGCCGAAACGTACAGGCCCCGCAACATAAGGTGGCGAGAGCTGGCGCAGGTAGGCGTAGCGGTGGGTCCATCGAGATTGGGTCCCTTTTCTTGGCCCAGGCAACCCTAAAATGCAAACCTTTTCCATTATCAGGGGCGTCGCTAATTGGTATGACGATATTGACATTACAAATAAATTATCATATTGTACCTACACGCCACTGTACCCCATCCGTTGACCAAGGGTAGGGTTTACAATTCAGTTTACGCCCCTACCATTTCCGAATTTCGTCTACTGCGCAAATTGCATTTCGCCACCGTATTTTGCGAGACCTGTATATATATTATACTAGCGGTTTCACCCGCCGTTAAATTTGAAAGAAATCAGACAATCTATAAATAAATTTAGAGTAGGTACCTACTTCATATGTCTAAAAACAACATACATTATTCAACAAATTTTTTCTAGATGTCGTTTTCATCTGCCACTATGAATATTAAGGTCAACCAAAATACATAATAATATTCTCCATTTAAAGTTTATATTTTAAACTACGACCGTTGGCGCAAACAACTGACCGAAATTTTGATGACGTCAGCAACAGTGCTAGTACCTACACCATAAATTTGATTCGAAAAAACTAGGCCGATGAGCAATCCTTTGCTTTGTAATTTTTAATATCCTCGAGAGACTGATATGACAGACGTTGTTACGATAAATTTATCATTTACGTAATGTGTTGTATTTTTGCCATTTCAGAATCAGCAAAGTAATAGTTCATAATTTGAGTTATCTAAAAGTATCTACAAAGTTCAATATGATATCAGTACTGCCATCTATCCATCATGAGCATAAAATGCAAATATCTATTATTAAAAGAAGGTACCGCCATCTAGTACCTGATAAATTTATTTTTCAAAATATTAGGCTGTGGTCCGAATATAACCAGGGTTTCGCGGTCCGGAAGTAATCAAATTAATCTTCGTTCCCGGAAAAGTGGTTACCTTTGGACCTTGGTTCCCTGAAAACTGGTTAACCAAATGTCAAAATAATTACCCGCTATCGGATGTCGGTTGTATGTTTTATCTGTAAATTCTGTCAATAATTTTTTTATTTCATATTCGCGTTCCCCAAGTAACCGTAATTTTCAGTAACCATCTGTCAACCGATTCGGTTACTTTAGTTAACATTTAGTTATATTCGAACCATAGCCTTATTACTTCTCATTTGACAATCATTTGTATTTTCATTTAATGAAATTATATTTATCTCACTTTTAGCAAATAGATATATTTCTGTCTTTCTCTAACTTCTGATTCTGAAATCATTATTATTGGCTTAATGACCTAATTAATTGGTGGTTTTTTGTTTTCAACATATCCTTAATTTAGATTATTGTAATTTGTAAACAATCAAAATAATTCTAGTGGGTTTTTATCTATTCTCTTTTAATCAACGTGGTGTTTCATTGATTAAGTGAGCACGCTCTTTTGTGTATGTTGAGTGTCGTCTTCTGATTGGTCGATCTGGTTAATACGCAGTTAAGTATAAAAAACAGAAGTTTGGTTTCCTGCAGGGTTCTGCTTCTAAAACGGTCTCTTCTTCTGGCAGTGGCTTAGCAGGCAAGTTGATTTCATTTTTATAATTTTTTCTTCAGATTTCTGAATTTTCCCCTAATAATTTTTCAATTCACTTTACCATCAGTGTACCATATCACTGTTGAGTTTTTACCTGATAAATCTTATCTTATCTACCTTTGGAATATAAATATTATATTTTATTTTTTATCTAATTGTGTGCCTCCATTTTGTGATGGTCCCCCGTTTTTTTTTTAGGTGAGTCAATTCAGAGTTTCGGGTTAATAAATAGGTACTGCTGCTCTGGTTTTCGGAATCAATTATAAGTATGTGATTATTGGACCATTGGCTCTACATAGAGTTGGCGCAAACCAAATTTGTGTGTCCATCCCTATCAACTCTTTACTGAATCCAGGCAGAGGCCTGTAAGCCATTTATTGTTTGACTCCTGACTAAAAATGGGTGTAATTTCTAAAATAGAAATCACATTGTGACTGTGAATTGTGACTCTATTACTGACTTCGACATCAAAAAACAAGCTCTCTAGCGGATTATCTAAAAAAATCTAGAAGCTTTCATAGAATTCTATTTGGAAACCGTGTGCGACACAAGAATAGTAACTTCATTACTGATTTTGACATCGAAAGTCGACAAAGTTATTTTTCTAGAACATTCCATCGTGTTCTAGCTAGAAAATTTCTCTACGCTTCAGAACTTCAGATTCAAAATCAAGTTTCAAAAAAGATATAGAATATTCCATGGTGATTACACGGCATCAAATAGTCAAAATGGAGTGGACTTGAAAAATATGGACGACAAGAGACCGGAAGAGGAACCTCAAAAAAAAAAATATATATTAGAAGAAGTCCGAAGACAGAAAGAAAAACAAGAAAAGGATGACCAAAGACAGAAAGAGAAAAAAAAGAGAAAGACCGAAGACAGAAAGAGAAAGAAGAATAGGAAGATCGGAAACAGAAAAAAAAAAAAAACAAGAAGAAAAGGGTCAACTCGCAGCACTTTTTCAACAACAAGAAGACCGGAGACAGAAAGAAAAACCATAAGAACAATAAATTCACGAATGCAATGGAAGTAGTACGTGAAGAAATTGCGAGTGTTCATCAGAAAGTTGAAAGTGTTCATCAGGAAGTTGGTACTGTTTGCCAGGAAGTTGGAACTTTAAGCCAAGAAATGGATAGGGTTCAGAATAAAATTAAAAAGTTGGAATGTGACTTGAGACCAGGAAATATACCAGCATCGCCTGCACCCGGTATTAAAGTTGAGCCACCAACAAATTACGGTAGATATTCTAGGCGATGTACAGCCGCCACTTCGAGACAGTTGCTATGGCTTATGATTGGAGCTCCGATGATAAGGCGACAGGCTTGATTGTAGCATTGCATGGTTCTACTTTAGACCCATTAGAGACACTTCCGCGTGCTTTCCAACATAACCAATAGTTGGGGAGCTGGCGTCAAAAACATGCAAGAGTTTTCGCAAGGCGGATATTTTCAAAATAGGTTGTACTTTAGTGCTAGAATGCTAGTGTACAGTCAGCACTCACAGTTCCGGGACAGCTGGCTCTGGGACGCGGGCAAAGTTGTGATTTTAAGAAGCATCTAAACTGTTTTCTCAAAGCTCAAAATTTATAGAAATTTTGCACATTATCTGTTTGAAGGTCACAGATAACGTATGTAAATCGTCAGACGTCTAGTTCGTTGCAAAAAGGGGGTCAGACGTCCTCAAAGTTTTTATTTTATGGCATTTTCTTCGGTATTCTGTCAAAATATATTTTTGCAGGTATTTGACAAATATATTTGAAGAAAATGCCATAAAATAAAAACTTTGAGGACGTCTGACCCCCCTTTTTGCAACGAACTAGACGTCTGACGATTTACATACGTTATCTGTGACCTTCAAACAGATAATGTGCAAAATTTCTATAAATTTTGAGCTTTGAGAAAACAGTTTAGAGGCTTCTTAAAACTACAACTTTGCCCGCGTCCCAGAGCCAGCTGTCCCGGAACTGTGAGTGCTGACTGTAGACTAGCATTCTAGCACTAAAGTACGACCTATTTTAAAAATATCCGCCTTGCGAAAACTCTTGC